GCAGAAGGCTGCGACGGGCCCCGGGGTCTTAAGTTTTTCAGGATCCGATCGGCAGCAGTGCAGAATCGAGGCATCCGAACATACATGCAGGCGCTTTCAGCAGTCGGTCCGCCTTGCGGGTGTCTCTGCGCCTACTTGGAGGATCCTGGGACTTAGTAATTAAGGTTATAACTATCTTAATTGCGGTTATAGTTACAGTATAGTTACCTTATTTATAACCCTAGTTACTAAGTCCCATGATCCTCCAAGTATGTCTGCAATCGGCATCGTCTTCTTTATGAACTCTGGTAGACTCTAGCCAAACTGATGGCAATCGGCACTGTAAAACCCTACCCATATCCCCGCTTCCTCCACACCGTTTCTGCAGGTCCATCTGTCTTTCCATCTTTCTTTGTCATTGAACCCTCTCTGTACTGTAGACCTCGAAAGGTATCTCTCTTTTGTCTATCCCTGGTCAACTCGGTTGTAGGGATCTTCATACATGCCGACTCCTTTGGAAACTTCCAGCATGGGTTGCTCAGAGCAGGGTTTAGGGTTTAGGGTTTAGGGTTTAGGGTTTAGGGTTCAGGGTTTAGGGTTTAGGGTTTAGGGTTTAGGGTTTAGGGGTTTGGGTTTCGAGGATCATTGCTAGTGCACGATGCGATCCAGATCGCATCCTCAACTTCCGGCAGTTGAACACCCAACCCTGCCCACAGATTCTGCTTTGCTTGCTAGATGGGGGTTTCCAAAAATAGGGGACCCTAGTATAGCACCCTAAATAGTAGGATCCCTATTATAAGCACCCGAAAAACCGTAAACCCTAAACCCTAAACCCTAATCTTCGGAAACTCCCAGATGGCCGGGCCTCAACGCAGATGTTCGGGTTCCGCTCCCGGCAGGTCTCGGCCAGCGACACCGCCTTGCCTCAGCACGACACACTCTTTCATGCATTGGGACAGTTAAAGGTCTATGGTTTGGGGTTTAGGGTTTAGGGTTTAGGGTTAGCGCAGCGTTGCTTAATGCAAGTAACCTTACAACCAACGCATTGCAAAACAGCTGGGAACATATCTACAACTACAAGCGTCAGTTCGTACCACAGCACCAGCAAACCTAGATGGCATTTGACTCCCCACACACACCCACACATACACACAAATACATACACACACACCAAACACAAACACCTGCACACATTGACAAAAACAAACAGGTGCGCACCAACGAACGACACTAGCGTGCATACTCGCTCACGATCAAAACGAGCACACCGGTGCTCACACAGACACACGCGAACACACGGTCTGGTGCTCGCAGACATGAAGCACGAACACGCATACGAAGACAAGAATACCTGCAAAGGAAAGCCATGCCTACATGCGCAAGCATGCATGCATGTACCAGGTACCATACGGTGCATGCATTCCTGCACACACACACACAAACAAACTTGCGAGTATCATGCGTTCACGTGCATGTTTGCATACTACCTACCTACCTACCTACCTACCTACCTACTTACCTACCTACATAAGTACATACATACAAACACATACATACTAACATACATACGTACATACATACATACATACATATGTACATACATATATCCATGTGCGCATACACACATCACATATACACACAAAAACCACATTCACGTACCTACACACGTGCTCACATATACATTCATGGGCAAACACATATGTCGATTGCTTGAGGTGCTTTTGCCCACATTTCGCCAGGGATGCCCGATCTGCCTGTGAAGGTTGGAGTCCTGTGCAGGTATAGGGCGAAAGTCATCGATGGAACAGAACAGTGTGGCTCCTCCACGTGATCACCATCCACGATCGCCAGGCGCCCGATGCCTTGCTGCACAGAGAACTCCATGTGATATTGATTTTACGACAGCATGCTGCGTCCTCTTCCCACTCTGAAGTTCAAGGAACACGAACAAAGAGCAAGAGGTGAGCATCGGCTGCAATTTTCCACGGAGAGCATGACAGTGCACGTTCAAGGCGGCTAACCCTTCATCGTGCCTGCTGCAGCAAGGTACATGGCAACTGGGCATCCCAATCCACCAGCACCCACGATCAGCACGCTTCCTGTACAAAGAAGCTGCAAGAAAATCAACGCACTGCAGGCTTGCCTTCTGCACCGTTCTCACGACAGAAGTGCAGAAACAAAAGCAGGCTGCTGAATGCAGATATAGGTTCGGCAATTCACACAGGCAAGTCTTACGACATGCCGAGCTTGAACTACTGGGGTTCATTACTTGTGTTAGCAGCCTTTGCTTTATGGCCTGGTCAATAGGCACACAATCCGCTCACTTCAGCAAGCCTTCGGCCCCAAGGCGCTGGCGGCCGCTTATGTAACGTTGATTGGGACTTGGACAACTCAAGTTTGGCTCAATTCCTGCAAGAACAGGGAATGTGCTGTATATGCGCATGAAACCAAGTTTCAACGTGTGTGCACATGTAAAGTTAAACATATACACGTGTGTTGAAATGCAGGCATCACCGTGCAAGCTCAAAAGAGCATCGAACGATGCATTTCTAAGGAACCAGTCAGAGACTTTTGGTCCACATTTCCATCTACCGAAACATTTCTACTGCTGCGTACTCAGACATACATGCATACTTGTCATTACATTCGAGCGTGCGAATGTATGCAGCCATGTATGCACATATGTACATGTGCCCATTTGTCTTCTTCCAGAACTATCTCTAGTGTAAGTAGGCATTGGACTGTCTGTTTGGCTTTATACTTGGTCATACTATATTTACTTCGCAGCTCACTCTCTCACTCACGCACTCACACACATTCAATCAACGCAGATAAACTAGAAGTACTGGTGTCTGAACTTTACACGTGGCCAAGGGGAGTCGAGACACTCGGCATCTGTCGAAGTACAATGCATCAACTATGCATCTCTCTACCTATCTATCTACCTACCTACCTATCTACCTATCTATGCCTAGATATATGCATATCTATCTGTATATATATATATATATATAATACATATATATATATATATAATACATATATATATATACATATATATTATACATATATATATATATACATATACATATACATGTACACATGCATGTGTGTGTATATACCTTTATATATATATATATATATATACACATGTGTGTGTATATTAGCATACGGTTGAATTTCGTACGCTTGCCCCGGTGCTCGTTTCCAGTCCATTGTATGCCCGCTTATAGCTATGGAGCGACACGGCTACTCCCTCACATGGGCTGAAAAGCATGCTTGTTCATGAACTAGTGCAGCAATACGTTTTTTCGTCTTGTTGGTTGATGATCAAAATGGATCCAGATACAAGCGACTGTTTGCGGCACCCACATGCTTGAAAATCTGGTTTTGTCGGGATATTTCATAGTGTCTTGGACGATGGTCGCTGGTGTGTTTGTGTGTGCGTAACCATGTTTCACGTGTCCTCGGGAGATTTCCCGCTGCCCCTCGGGACCCAACTTCGGCAGAACCAATTGACGGCCATACTGTCCCACTTCCCGACGTGTGAGACCACCTCGGATCTTTCGCGTCAACTGAGGAAACTCCTCGAAGGTAACATCGCAACTTCGCAACACGCACCTGGAACCACGCATGAACTTCAACTCCGTGACTGGATCAGAAATGGGTTTTGCCATCAAACAGCGCACTCTGGCTCTGGCAGGTTCATGCTCAAGCTTTGATGACTTGCGCTTTTGAAAGTCGGAGGGTCTGCCGCCCGACTCCAGTCCCTGGCATGCTCGACTAAAGCTGAGGTGCATCCTGCCCAAAGCTCAGCATCACGTTCTTTGCCAACAAAACGCCGAAAGGCGTGGAAGCAATCCTTCGGGGCGCAAGCTCGCAAGTTGTGTTTTCGGGATGTGAAAAAGCACAGCAAATGCCAAATTGCTGAAGCTGTTGGCACAGTCAAGATCCGTACAAGAACTAGAGTTTGGTTGAACTTCGGAAGTCTGATCCTAGCAGGTCCTAGCAAATGCCTCAGCCTTCTAATGTTGGCAATAACTGTAGTCCCTTGCTGCAAACTGTCCCCGAAGCACCAAGTCTTTCCGCTGTGGGCGCCCATGGCAACACTTAAAGGATGCCTATCACGAGATGTCCGACACTGATAAGAGCTGCTACAAATGAACACTCAGCTTAAACGCACAAACCACCACTTCCAAGCAACTGAAATCTACAAGGTCTCGCATCTGGCATATCCTGGCCGTGCGTTTTTTGGGTTCGCTTACGGCTCATGGATTTAGTCAGATGGTACGTTCGTACCAAACAGCTGCGACCGACGTGAACGACCTGTTGCGATGGCTGAAGCTTGACGTTCTGCCCTCCGCTGATTCTTCCATTTGTCAATCTGGGTGGTGTTTTATTTTTTATTCCCTAGAGCAGATTTCGCAATATATAAAAGGATGCAAATATACATTCAAGAATATAATTCAATCTCAAACAATCCTCAATCGGTAAACATGAAT